ACACAATTTATCACAATTTGTTTGAATTTATCATGTAATTTAGATCGTATTTTGACACTTTAATATATTATTTCTTACTTGTCTGGTTTTATAATTTATACTGTATCTTATTTATTAACTATTGTTTTCTATACATATACTTACAATTTCTTTATTTGTGAACCATTATTTTATTTAAATAAGTACCATATTATTATCTAGTATCTTCATATTTTTAGGAAGACTTTAAATATAAGTTATTATTTAACATATATCATAAATAATTCACCGTGATTCAACATATCATGTACATGTAAAAAGAAATTTACTTTTATATTAGTGAGAAATCAAAAACAGACAAAACATTTAAAAATGTCTATCTATGAATGGTAATAACAAATTTAGGTTCACTTTTACTATTAACTTATTATTAAAAATGAAAAAGAAAAATAATTAACGGAGGTTGAAACATGTTTAATAAAATAATAAAAAAATAAAACTAACTTTCCATAGACCCACTAAAACACTTACTATTTTTAGTAAGTGGGTTGCCTAATTATATAGTAATAGATTAGTTTTCAGTAAAAAGAATACAATTACCATTTTCAAGTCTACCTTACTCTTTCTAAAAAAAAAAAAAAAAAAAAAAAAAAAAAAAAAAATCACCCTTCCATATGTCATTGTTAGGGCGAGACAAAGTCACAAAATCATTTGAAAAATCTTATATCGAAGAACAAATACTTATTGTCTTGTATTTATGTCAGCTACTACACAACTCAATATTGATTTCAATTTCAGATCAGACAAAAATAAATAAATAAATAAATGGGGGGAAGCATGGAAAGGGGTATAATGGATGTTTGTTATTGGAGGTTTTATATCCACAAAAGATAATGTGTGACGGTTGTGGAAGTACTTGATTTATTAACATGTCATTTCTTTTACTATCATATTTTTTAAAATATATATATATTAATGAGTTGACCATGGTGTAAAAATTCTCGTCTAAAGTTCATGTATTTACTTTGAATCAACATACACTCATGTTTTGGCTGGTATATGAGAGCTTTTGGGTCGAAACTGAGAAGTGGGACTTTCTCATGGCTACCGTGAATTTAACTTTGTGGCGGATTATCTAGCGTCACTTGCGGCTAATTAATTTAATTACCTAGCGAAGCGAGCTAAGGTCAGTGGTTACCCCACCCAGGCTCAGCTACAGCTTAGTACGTACGTAATATTTATTTAATTTAGTCAAAAATAGTGTGAGGGGGGGTAATGTTTGTTTGAATGAAATTAGCTACTTAGCTACCTACCTCTGACTTAGCAGGGATATATAAGGTTCTTATCGGTTTTTTTTTTTTTTTTTTTTTTTATTTGTAAACTTATCATTAATTATGTGTAGATTAATGTAATGAGCTGGCATTATTTTTGTTGACAAGTATATACTATTATATTATGTATGATTGTATCTGCAATTTAAGAAATTTCAGGGGTCATTTTGATTTTAAATTTTTTTCAGGGGTCAATTGGTAGGGTCTTGGGTAGGCCACCCCTTTATAATTAATTTACGGCAAATTGGTTGGTTGGCGCAACTTGCTCCATGGGCCTCACTTAAATTATATATTTATATTTATTATATATTTATAAGCTTCAAATATTGACCAACTTGGACTTTTTTTATTGCTTTTTTTTTGTTGCATTCAACGATTCTTGTTTTTGCCAAACAAAATATCATATGTTCAACTATTCATGCATGCGGCTACGAAACTACTCAAAATTTTCTCCCCCCATTTCAATTATTTATTTTTTAATATTATTTGGACTTCAAGAAGTACTCTTTTTATACACTGAATTCCATTTACTTTACTAAATAAATTTAATTAAATTATTATGAGTATGAAATTATGTGCAATTAATGCAAACCTCGTTATATATATATATATAATTATATATATGTATGTATATATATATATATATATATATATATATACGGTGATGCTACGGTCCCGTTACGAAACTATTCCGCCAGGTTTGTAACCATCACATTGACTATTCTCGACGATTACATAATGATCTAATGGTTACAAACACCGATTGATTGGTTGTGTAACGAGACTGTAGCATTTCGCATATATATATAATAAGAATAAGGTTAAATCAATTTTAAAAAATCTTTCCCACCAAAATCATTAATTACATATTAAAAATGGTATGATTAAAAATGTTTGAAATAAAAAAAATAAAAATAAAACCTTTAATTGCATTCAATAGTTACATTGCAAAGTGGAATATGATAGAAAATAGAAATTCCTCTGTATTATATCTTCAAAAAATCTTTTAATCAAAAGAGGGTTAGTTTAGGATCCTTTGGTTTAACCCCAATTTTCTAAAATATTAAAATAAATTTATCTATTTATCTTTAATTATAAACCAATATTTATCTTTAGTAACAAATCATGCGTATTCCTGTTTTGTCGTGTATTCAACCATATGTAGACCGAAATATGCGTGAAAACATTAGAAAATACAAATAAAAAATAAATTTAAAAATCAATTGCAAAAACCTTATCGGTAAAGCTACCACAATATGATAATAGAATTGATACCTCAACATTGATAACAATTCATTATGATTTTTTATTCATTTCGGAGTCATATACCAAAAATCATTTATTCAAAAAAATAAAAAAAAAAATATCATTTAATTTTATCAATAATTTCTCCAACATAATTTTTGAAAAATTCATATTCTGATTCACGACATCACAACGAATATTATATAAATTATTAGATCGGAAAGAAAATTAAAATATTCATAATATTTTAAAATTATAAGAAAAAATAAAATAATGTTGATGTAATAAAAATTTAATATTTTTTAACTTCAAAATAATATATACTACAATCTTTGTTCAATTCAGTGTTGATTATAATATTTGCCACATTTTTAAACTTTAGTCTTACTTAGTTAGCATCCGATTAATATATTGTAACAAAGTATGGGTAAGAAGATAGAGAGAGAAGTATTATGTTAATATTATTTGTTGATAATATTTGAATATATTAATTTTTTAGTATCCTCCATTATAAACAGAATCTAAAATCATGACAACTATTTTATAACGATTGAAATAAACATATAAATTAAATATAATATTATTATATATCATAAAATAAAATAAAAGATAATTATCAATATCCAAACTTTTTGTTTATACCAGTTAGTATTTTTTCATTGCTTTAATACCTGCAATTCATAATTATTCGCATGTGCATCGTCCGAGCTACGTACTAGTTACTAGTACTGAAACAACATTAGGTGAAATCTATTCATTATCACATGACACCACTAGGCCAAGTAGTATAAAATTAGTGCATTATTGCATAAATACAAAATAGAATTGTATTAAATATATACATATGTCGACCGGGCGAGCCAAACACATCAACCACGAGTTTGGGTCCATTGATCAAGGTTTTGGTCCTTAAAGAGCTTAGCCTAAAACACACATTAATTCCTGAGTTGTCGATTGACAAAGGAACAATGCATTGACTTTAAATTTAAGATGGGCCGAACATCCAATTGTCGTGGCCCAAAATTTAACTAATGGGCGACCTCTTTGGTTATACCATTAACCAATTCTCTATCTTTTTAAAAACATTTATACCTATTTTGAAGTCATTATTTCACTTTTATCAATTTTTACTCCTTTAATTCTTTTTTAAATGTCATTTTAAAATGTAACTAGTATGTAGTGCCATCATAAGACAAAAAAAAAATTAAATGAGTCATTTCATAATATATATTATTAGTTATTTAAGTTACAATAAAAATCTTGTGTTACTTTTTACTTAATCTAATTGTTATGTATTTATATAACCAATTGATCAAATTTTTTAGTTATTTTTTTCTTTTTTTAGGCATTCATATTTGAATTTGGAGAAGAAGAAAATAAGAAGAAAGGGGAGGAAAACAAGAAGATGAAGAAAAGGGAAGAAGAAGTAAAAGAAGAAGAGAAAATAATGTAGAAAGAAAAAGGGAGAGAGAGAAAGAATAAGAAGAGAGAAAAATAAAATAAATAAGAAGTTGTTGGAGTCGTCGGATAGTTGGGTTTATGAAGTCATTTACAGTTATTCACAAATAGTGTATTGACACGTGTACAATAAATACATTTTGGACATGTATTAATACATTAATCACTCAATCGCTATGTAAGAGAACCGATGACTCAATAGAATTATTGATAAGAATGTGATTTAATTTGATGGTTTTTAAAGTTTGAAAATTTGACATTTATGGAATTATTTTATTTAATTAATTTTATGAAATGTTTTTTTTTTTTCATTGGTCAGTTTTGTACGGCCCAATACATAGTCCGTTTTTCTAATATGTCCGTTTTTCACAATATCCGGTTCAAATAATAATTTTGACCTAATTTCTTTTTCCAGTCTTCCAAAACATCATCATTATAGCTCAATAAAAAGTAAATTAAATTAATAAACATATATAAAATACGATGGCAAAACAATTATCAGAGTCACGCTAAAATAATTACTCAAATATTGTTGCTAAAATGTTAAAATGTAATAATAATCCAAAAACAACTATATGATAAAAGGGAAATTCTACGGTCATGTTACGGTATCCATCTTAGAATATTGATAACATTAATCTTAAATCTTATATGCTCGCTTGCTACACTTTTCCTTTCTTTTTTTTCTTAAAGTGAAAGGGGGATAACCAGCTGGATTTACTAATTCACCAATTCAACAGGAAAATTAAACATCATGTGAAAACTAAAAACAACTAGGTAGCCAAGTTTCTTCTAACTATTTTCCTCCAAAGGCTTTGTGGTGAGTCCAAATCCGAAAGGAAAAAGAGGATCATAATGCGCATCCCCAAAGTTCATTGGAAGTTGATCGACTCTCTTGAACCATGTTCTCGGCAATTTCCCCGTAAAACCATAGTCCCCAAACAGCACATCAGCTACACCTTGTCCTTGAGAACCAGGTAACCATGCAGCCACAAGGGCATCAATGTTTGGAAGATACGGCTCAATGACTAGCGGCCGTCCCGAAATTATAATCACAACACACTTCATTTTGCTGCATACGCTATTCATTGTGGTAAGACCCGGTTCTGGAATACTTAGGTTCGTGTTGTCTCCATATTGCTCTGCATACGTGTGCTCCCCCACCACCACAATAGCGTATGAAAACTCGTCCGCATTCAATGATTCAACATCCGGTTTTGCGCTGTACACGATTTCTGTACTTGGGTCAACCGTAGTTGAGATGGCATTCAATATAGTGGTTCCTGATCATTATATATTACAACAACAGAAGGTGATGAATAGTCTTACTACATTAATTAATAGTATCAGATATGAAAAAAGGTACAAATTATATATATTTGGTAGATTAATTCTTGATTGATTAATTCTAGAATACATACCACTTATGAGGGTGTTGTTGTTGACACCTTGCCAGTCGACAGTCCAACCACCACATTGTAAACCGAGATTGTTGGCATGTGTTCCGGCGACCAAGATTTTCGGTGTCTTTTTGGGGAGTGGAAGTAGAGGGTTAGTCGAATTTTCTTTTCCATTCTTCAATAGAACAAGTGATTTTCTTACAGCCTCTCTTGCCAATTCTCTGTGAGCCTCTGTACCGATTTGATCGGTTAAGCTGTAATCGGCCAAAGGGTTGTCAAAAAGACCCAAACTGATGAACTTCACTCTCAAAATCCTTTTGACCGCATCATCTATGCGGCTCATAGGTATCAATTTGTTGTTCACATGAGAAGTCATTAGGCGGAGAAATTCTGTGTGATTGGGTGGAACCATAACCTGTACAAGCCAATAACAATAACTTGTTAGCCTCGATCCATCCATCATAAGAAAATTAAACCATCACGTACGTGACGACTTAGGATTAATTTATATAGTCTATCTAACTAAATACCATGTCCACGCCCGCATTAATCGCGGTTACAAGTGATGTTGAATAATTGGAGCCCCACGGGTAAGTCATCCGGTCCACACCTTGCCAATCTGATATCACAAATCCCTGAAATCAAAATAGATATAAACAGTAGCTAATTAGTAATATATACTTTCTCTTCAATTATATTATTTTTTTCATTTTTTTAGCGAATTAGTACAAAACATATAAGATCAATTACATACTCTAAATTTGAGGGTGGATTTGAGGAATTGTGTGACGAGGTTTCTGTTGGAATGCATTTTGACACCGTTCCAGCTTGAATAAGACACCATTATAGTCGAGACACCCTTGATGATAGAGTGGTAGTATCCCGGCATGTGAATGCTCATTAGTCCTTTCCAATCAGTCAACGTGTTGTTCTCATCAATTCCATTTACAGTGCCACCATCACCAACAAAGTGTTTTGCACATGCCACCACTTTGTCTCTGCAAATATTATTAACACCAAAGCAAATGATAAAAGAACTTCAGAATTAGCATTAAAACGTTAACAAGTTTAGTCCTCAACTTACTTTCCACCAACGTAAGGGACGCCTTTGACGGGAGGTTCTCCTTGCAGACCATAAATAATGTCGGTCATTTGTTCAACAATCTTGTGGTCTTCACTGTAACTCTCGTAGCACCTACCCCATCTTGGGTCTCTACACACCTATACATGAGAACAAAGGAAAACGGAATGGTTAAAATATTTGAGAAAAAAGGAAAACGAATTGGTTAAAATATTAATCTATATGTTCAGTTTTGTAGCCTGGCATTTAGTCATCCCTTATAACTTGATTAATAATTTGGATATTTAGAAACATATGTTCATTTATTCATCCCTTATATATGATGTATTGCAGCACGTAGAGTAATGTAACTTAAAAAAAAAAAATGTAAAATTAACCGTAAATGAATACGCACCGCAATGCAGGGTGCAAAAGCATAGGGAATGCCGGTAGCTCTGGTTTCGACTGCAGTTGCAGCTCCAATCCTCTTAACTAGCTCTGGATCTCTATTAATTTACACATACATACATACATACATACATACATACATACATACATACTCTATAAATATATAATAAAAGGGAAACAAGGAGTAAAGTAAATTAATGTGAGTAATGAATAAATACCTGGTAGCTCCAAGGCCAACATTGTGTGGAAAGATAGTAGCTCTGTACAAACTGTTATGTCCATGCACAGAGTCAATTGCGTAAAGCATCGGAATCCCGAGCCTGCTCGAGAGGGAACCTTGTTGGTACGCGTTGACCATGTCAACCCACTCCTCGGGTGTGGCCCTGTGGTCTTCGCGAGGCGTGCTGCCAGCCGCGCTAATTACGCTGCCAATGGAATATTCTCGGAGAATCTCGGGAGTGACATTGGGCCTGTCGATTTGGGCCATCTGCCCGATTTTCTCCTTGAGTGTCATTTGGTCGACTAGGCTCTTGATCCGAACGTTCATGGGATGTTTCGGGTCCTTGTAGCGGGTGTCAATCGGCACATTTTGGGATACTGCAGCGGCCCATGAAGCAAGTAGTAGGAGTAGGAGTCCCAAGACTTGGACTTTGATGATGATGAGCATCATTATTAGAATGAGAGAGAGTTGGAGAAGGTGTGTGTGTGTGTGTGTGTGTGTGTGATGTTTTTGGCTTCGCCTCGCCAGCCACCTATTTATAGCTGTTGGATTGGATGACGATTAATGTACACAGTACAATATGATTTATTTTTATTATTATTATTATTATTATTATTATTCTTTGCACTGCAATATTGACCAATACGACCCAACTGTTGTCCTGCGTTGAACAAATATTATAGTTAGTGGATAACAGAATAATATACTCTCCACTTTCTGTAAATGGAGGCGTTTAAAACTCTAAAATTAGAATTTTATAGGAATTAATGGATAATTTATCTTATATAATCTCCTTAGATCAAAAGTTTAGATAATTCTTCATTTTTCTTAATCTTATTTATCTCTTATTCCTTTTCAGAAAACATCATATTTTATTAATCTTCTTATCCTTATTAAAACTTGGACACCGAGACTTATGGATAAAAAAAAAAAAAAATTAATAAAATACATTACAATAACAACTAATTAGTAAAAATATTTACAACCTACGTAATTTGAAACGGAGTGAGTATATTCATTACTTTATAATATGGTCAAAGATTTATTTGATATAGTAAAAAAAAAAAATTGCTAAAACTTTAAGAACTTGATTTATTTTATATAGTAAAATAAATTTTCTAAAAATTTAACAACTTGCTACTAAAGGTAAGTTGTGATGAGTTTTAACTAAACTTAGTTCACGATGTTTTTAAAATCCTTTAATGTTAAAAAAAAA